TTTGCCGTCTGGAGCCTAGCGATTCTGCGCCCGCCCAGATCGTGCCCCAGGTTGCGGGCCCAGCGCATCTTGGTCAGCTTGCGGGCCGCCGCGTGTCGGGCACACTCGCGAGCAGCCGCGTCCGATGAGACCAAGTAGCCCGACTTGGTGGGCTGCACGACAATGCCTCGCTCTTGGGCGCCCTCTCGGAACCTGGTGGTGGCCGCCCAAAGCACGCCCAGTTGCGAGAGCCGCCTCCCGCGCCACTGCAAGGTGACGTCGTCGATGAGGGCCCTCGGGGTGACGCCTGCATCTCGCACCTGCTCGAGCAGCCTGAACATGAGCAAGGTGACCATGGCACAGGCGTGAGTGCATCCTGCGAGCACGCCCTGATGTGACACGACCGCGTAGGACACCGAGCCGAAAGCTTGCAGCCGCCTCGGCTGCCTGTATAGCTCAATCAACATCCAGACCAACCGCAGCGGCATGCCCAGCAGCCGCGCCTCGATGAGTAGCCACTCGGGCTTAATCGTCTCGAAGAACTTCCAGGCGTCCAGCATGACGATTACGACGTGCTCGTCCAGGCAGTCCGATACCTCCGTCTCAAGGTTGAGGTCGAAGGCGGAGTCGGAGGACGATCTGCCGCCGCCCATGCCCCAAATGCTGGCATTGGGGTGCGCCGTCAGCCACGCCTTGGACGTCGAGGCACGAGCCCTCGACCACCATCGGATTAGCGAGTGCATCAGCGTGATCAGCCTGCAGCCGCCAGAGGCCTTGGGGATGCGGCACATAGCGTGCCACAGCCTTTCGCTGGGCCAAGCCCCCAGCGCCTCGCACTTCATGAAGAGCTGGCCGCAGGTGTAAACGCCGTCGTCCGTGAGAAAGGTGAGCGCGCGCATGCCGATCTGCGCTGGGCCGAGCGCCGTGGTGGTGGGGAAGCTGCAGGCGGCCCGCTGCAGCGCCTCCACGGTGAGGTCTTCGAGGTCGTCCCATTCGTCGAAGTCAGCTGGCCTTTCCAGCGCCTCGAGCTTGTGGCACGACCAGACGTCCTCCCAGGCCTTCATCTCCCGGTCGCAGATCAGGTGCTGGCTGGCGACCTGCTGCTGCTGCGGGACGAAGGTCTGGGCGAGCCGTCCAGTGGTGAGCTCGGTGTGGGTGCCCTGCCATTGCGCCAGCACCTCCTGCATCGCCCGCAGCTTGGTGAAGCGGTGCGCCTTGCCAGCGCCGTTCCGCAGGCTGTCGTTGGCCCACTGGATCCAGCTCTGCTGCCTGACCTTGAGCGCGTCCGCGTGGGCGTCCTTGGCGAACTGGACGATGCGGCCCGCCTGCTCCAGGAAGTCGGTGTTGCCGATCACGCGAAAGCCCTGCTCGAAGAAGGACCTCACCCAATGCGGGAGCAGTGCTAGCGTCTTCTTGCTGTCCATAACCACGCGCCCATACTCCAAAGCCCTCACGACGAAGTCCGCCAGCTCGTGGTACTGCTCAGGGACAAGGGAGCACTGCAGGCTGGCGGTTTGCAGCCTCCTGCTGGCCTTCGCGAGGAACGCGCTGACCCCCATGAAGTGACGCGCCCATCGGCCCGCGACCTTGGCCGCGATGACATCAGGCCCCAATCGGACACGCTGCCCTTGCGGCTTCCACTTGACTGGCGCCAGCTTGGTCGCAATGGGCCCCGCACGTCCTTCGAACCGCCTGCGCGCTTCGCCAACCTGGTCGTAGCGGTCCAACAGCTCCTGCTCCAAGGTGCTGACGACGGCGTCCCAGGCTGCTGGCAGCTCCTCGGCGCTGGTTGTGGCGCGCACCTGGGCCAAAGTGGGCGCCCAGTCCTCGACACCGCGGCTGCAGCCGATGGGCGGCACCGCTGGAATCGCCCTGGGGGCGATCGGGATCCTCACGCGCATGTCCAGGTCGGCGGCACGCAGCTCCATGTTGACAGGGAGGTGCGGGGAGGTGATGCCCAACTCATCCACTCTCGGAGCCGAGATGCGGCTGGCCAGGTTTGCACCGACCAGAAAGTAGTCCAGCACCGAGCCGCTGCCCGCCTGTGGGCGGCAGGTGTCGGCCGACGGCGCTAGCCAGAGGCCCCCCGCCTTTTCCAACTGCGCCAGGGGCAGGCAGCTGGGAGGCCCATTGAAGTCGCCGCCGACGATCCAATCGATGCCCGAGGCCGTGAGCTTCGTGAGGTAGCGAGTGAGCGCGCCGAAGATGCTTCGGTTCACGTCGTTCATGCCAACGCTGTCGACCAGGTAGGCCGACACGAAGACAATGCCGCCACGGACTCCCCAGTGCACGTGGGCGGCCACCAGTCGCCCTGGCCACAGTGTCGCCGAGGGCAGCAGCGGCGGGGCCGTGACGGGGATGTTCTTGCGGGCCAAGACCGCGACGCCGCCCGTAGTGCCCTCCGCGGAGGTGGGGCCTGCCACTGCTGGCGCCCAGATGCCCGCGAACCCGTGATCCAGCACCTCGTGCTGCAGGTCGGCGAGCTTCGCCTCGTCCCGTCGGTGATGCTCCTGGACGAGAACGACGTGCGAGTCGAGGGTCTCTAGGCACGGCGCCAATGAACCCCAGGAAGTCACGTTGCTGGTAGTGATAGTGCCTTTCGCCATCGCAAGTGTGCAGGACATCGCGATGATGAGCTTAGTAAGGATTGAAGCCCCTGACGGCCAGCTCCGTGGCGCGCGCCAGCATGGCGTCGCTGGTCTCCTCTGCTGGCCCTGGTGAGAACGCCGCCATGGTCTGCCGCAGCTTCTCGGGCTCCATCGCGGCGGGATCCCAGCGCGGCGCTGCGGCTGCAGGGGCGGCGCCGCCTGCAGTGCCTGCGTCATGCGCGGCGGCGGCGGCGTCGTCTCCCTCGACGGACGCTGCAGGAGTGCGAGGGGCGCTCGCTGCCTCCGTGGCGGCGGCCCGCTCGCGCTGCCGCCGCAGCATGAGCTCCTGGAGGGGCCCGCCAAGCGCCGAGGCCAGCCGCTGCGGCAAATCGCCCGCGGTCGGCATGGTGTCGTCGGGGTGAGCGGCCAGCGCGCCGCTGAGAGCCTGCGCCAGGTCGCCGAGGGTGAGGCCGCCCGTGTTCTTGATGACGTCGTGCTCCATGGACTGCCCAGGCGGACGATCCTCTGGCGCGACTGGGACCTGCTGCTGGAGTGCCGACTGCTCCGCCTGGAGGGCCACCTGCTGCGCCTTGAGCTCTCTGACACCATGCCGCTTGAGCTCCAGCTCGTCTTGCGCCTTCTTGACACGGTCCTCCGCCTCGCGCTCGGCCAGCTCCATCTTGCTGAGTTTGTCCGCCAGATTCTTCTGCCTGTGGGCCAGCGCCTGCACCCGCGCGTGGAGCGGCTTGGCGGCGAAGAGCCTGTCCTTGGCGGCGGCGAGCCTGCGCTTGAGATCCTCCCGCGGGCCCGTGGCCCAGTCGTGCTGCACGTCCTTGAGCGTGGCCAGGCCTGCCTCGCAAACCTTGATCTCGCTCGCAGCCGAGGCGTCCTCGCCTGACTTGCCGTCGTCCACGTGCATGGCCGCGGCCCCGCCCTGGTCGGACTCCTGCGTACGAAGCTTCTTCCTGGCAGCGTCGAGCTCCGCCCGCATGGCCGCGAGCTCGCCCTCAAGCTTGCCCTCGGCCGTCCACGGGGCCCGCTTCTTGCCCTTGGCTGGGGCCCGCATCGAGGGCTCCTTCGGCGGCACAGGCCCGCCGTACACGTCCTTCTTGTGGAGCCTGCACCCTTGGCACTTGAGCGAGGTCCCGAAGTTGATGAGCGGCTTGCCGCGCTTCGTCGTACAGCTCCTGCAAGCCCAGTCCTGGCGTTCCTTGCGGCCGGCGCCAGCCATGGTGCTGCAGTCTGCACTTGGGATCGAGAAGGGGCTGTCGGGCTCAAGAGCCCTGGCACAGGCCGCGGACTAGCGGTATCCACTTGTTCCCCTGTGGAACTAGGCATCTTGAGCCAAAATGGCTACGGAGAGGAGGAGGAGGAGGAGGAGGAGGAGGAGGAGGAGGAGGAGGAGGAGGAGAGGAGGAGGAGGAGGAGGAGGAGGAGGAGGAGAGGAGGAGGGAGGAGGAGGGGAGGAGGAGGAGGAGGAGGAGGAGGAGGAGGAGGAGGAGGAGGAGGAGGAGGAGGAGGAGGAGGAGAGGGGGAGGAGGAGGGAGGAGGGGAGGAGGAGGAGGGGGAGGAGGAGGAGGAGGAGGAGGAGGAGGAGGAGGAGGAGGAGGCGGAGGAGGAGGAGGAGGAGCAGGGAGGAGGAGGAGGAGGAGGATTGCAGGTCGATGTTCCCCCACCCACCCCCTGAGCTGCCCCCCCCCACCCCCCCACCCCCCGTGTAGGTTCCCCTCAGGCGCGCTGGCGGCCGCTGTCGCGGCTGCGGGCGGCCTCGCGCCCGATGCCGCGCGGGCGGCGTCCAGCCCTCAAGCGGCGTCGCCGGACGGGACGTGCGTAGGCCACCGCTCGGCCGCATGTTAGGGTGGCCCTGCGCCAGCGGTGGCCTCCCCAGCGACCCCCTCGCGTCGAAACAAAACTCGCGGCGGGCGGTGTTGGGCAGTTTGCGGCCTCCCGGATCCCTCGCCGGGCGCGGGGACCGTCAAGAAGCGATCAAAGAGGCAAACCTGGCCCTGAGAAAGGGTTCCAGACCTCCATCGGGTCCAAGTTGCGAGCAAAACTGCGACGTTGGGGTCTGGGGAGTGACTCTTCGCTGGAGTGAGCATTTTGGGTGCGGACCCAGACGGGTCCCTGCAGCCCTGCCTGGCGTGCCAGGCTTTGGCCCCTCCGCGGCCCGCTGAAGCTGCGCATCTACGGCCACTCTTGCCCAGGGCCGCTCTTCCGCGCAGCCGAGCCATGGGGAGGATCTGGGCCTCTCAGGGAAAGGGGCCCCTGAGGCTCCACAGTCTTTTTCCTGCTCAGTCCTGCTGGTGGCAGCTGTTGATGTTTCACAGGCCCCTGGGCTCCCGGGGGGCGCCCTCAGAGAGGCAGCGGCCAGTTGAGACAGCGGGCCGGCTCTTCCGCCCGGCCTGGATCGGCTCAAAACCAGCCCTCGGACCCCTCCTGGAACCTCGCCCGAGGTCCAACCTGGCCCAGTTGTCGAGGCGGATCCAGCGGTGGCGAAGAGAAGCTTCCGGGAGGCCCCAAGAGTAGCCCCCCAACACCAGGGAGGGCCGCCGCTGTCTCGATTTGGCAGTCCTCCGAGAGGAGGCTGGCCTTCCAGGCGGCGCCCTGGGGGGGCCCGGGGCTCGCGGTCCTTCAATGTCAGCCACGCGCAGAGGGGGGTGCGGGGAGGGGGGAGGGCTTAGAAGCACCCCTGCTTCTTAGAAGGCGCGGGCCTTATGTGTAAATGGAAGGCCGGCGCCTTCTGAGAAGCAGCCTGCTTCTAAGAAGCCCTCCCTCCTCCCTCCACCCCCTTGTGCGCGCCGCCACACTTGTTCGTGCCGAGACAGGCTGCCTGGGCGTGGTGGACGGGCTCTTCGAGAAGTGCCGCGGCGACCTGCGCGGCTGCGTGTCGTCGCAGGACGACCGCGGCGAGGTCTTCCAGGTCCTGGGCGGCGCCAGCCGCGTGCCAGACCAGCTCGGCGCACGCTCCCCACGCAGCCAGCCCGCAGAGCAAGGATGAGCGACTCTCCGAGGTTGCCCTTGCACCTTTGCCCCTTCGGCCCATGCTTGGCGACTTTCGCTGGCCAGCCCTGTTCGAAAGCGCCAACACGGCCTTCCAAGGCCCTTGCATCCTCACCGCGCATCCTTCTTATGCGAATTTACTGCATCCCCGATGTCGTGATTTTTCTTTTGTAACGTCGCCGCTCAAAGATCTCGACCACTTTCCCGGGGCCGGCTTTTCATCCCGCACGTTTTTTACGGTTCCGGGGCCGGGAAACAGCTCGACCGCCCGTCGTGATTTCTGCCGCGACGCGAAGGGATTTGGGTATCGAGCTGGTCTGGCACACGGCTGGCGTCGTCCAGAGGTCCCCTGGCAGCTGCCGGTAGAGGGGCTCAAGGCGGGCGCCGCCGCCGACAAGATCGCTGCGCTCAGGCAGGTGCGGGAGGGGGCGGTGCTAGCCGGGGGCCGCGTGGTGAAGCAGGTTTGGGGGAAACGCAACGGTCAGGGACGCTTGCTTGGCGTGCAGCAGCGCCAGTTCTGGCCCACCACGCTGATGAGCCCATTTTCCACCACCACCACCACTACCATATGTAGGAGAGGGAGGAGGAGGAGGAGGAGGAGGACGAGGAGGAGGAGGACCTCCTCGCCCTCTCGTCGCCCCTGTCCTACATCTGGTGGTGGTGGTGGTGGAAAATCTGCCCATCACACGCGTCGGCGCGACAGGCTGCGTAATCACGCCCCAGCTCGCAAGCGTCAACGTCGTGGGCTCTTCCTGGCCTCCCGCCCCGCTGAGCGGAGCGCCACGCTGGCAACTCGCAGGCATGGCGTGTCGCCGGCGCTGCCGCCGCGACACGCCAAGCAAAAGTTCCCGACCCTATACTGTTGCATGTTTCTCCCGTGTGTATGTATATATAGAGATAAATAATCAAATGCGCTCCCCCCCCCCCCGGGAGCGTCCCCCACCTCCGTGACATCCGGGGGCAACTCCCGGTACCGCGCCCCCGGGCCTCCCAGGGAGGTCCCAAAACGCCCCAGGACGGCCCAAGACGCCCCCAAGAAGCTCCCAGAACACAAAAGGAGGGCCCAAGACGCTCCCAAGTAGCCCAAGACAGACCTTCGACGGCTCTCCAGGCTCCCAGGAGGCCTTCAAGAGGCCCCAAGTGAGCTCCGAGAGGCGTCCTGGGAGCGCTCGAAGAGGCTCAACTCGTTTTTTTTTTGGTTCTCGGTTTTTGACCTTCTCGCGTTTTCGAGCCTTCAACGCTCCAAGACGGCCGAAAAGGCCCCCACGACCGCCCCAAGACCGCCCATGAGAGCCCCCAAGACGGCTCCACGACGGGCCAAGAAGGCCCCAAGACGGCCCATGAGCGCCCCGAGGCAGCCCAAGGGAGCTCCAAGATGGCCCGAAAAGCCGCCCAACAGGGGGAACGCACATCGACAATCCCGGCTTTCCGCTCCAAGAGGCCCCCAGGAGGCCCCAAGAGTCCCCCGACGAGCCTGCCAGGAGGGGGAAAGAACACACAGACACAATTAATCGTCGAGCCCCCAGAAAAGATTGGAAAACATGGGAAAGGAATGGAAGGGGGGAAGACGGAAATCCAAAAGATCTAGGAAAAGATGGTGAATTCTTGGATTTGTGTGTCCTTGTGTGTGTGTGTGTGTGTGTGTTTGTGTGTGTGTGTGTGTGTTTGTGTGTGTGTGTGTTGTTTGTGCGTGTGTGTGTGTGTGTGTGTGTGTGTGTGTTTGTGTGTGTGTGTATGTGTGTGTATGTGTGTGTATGTGTGTCCCAGGGCCCAATTAGCCTGATGATGCCCACAAGTGGCCCAAAAGAGGCCCCCAAACAGCCCCCGAGCGGCCTCCAGACTGCCTCCCAAAGAAGAGCCCCCCTGCACGCCTCGTGGCCCCCCCCCCTCCCGATTCCTGCGCACTGCATGTTGGGAGAGGCCCCACCTGGAGAGATAGGGACATCTAGTGATTCTCTTTGTGTCCAAGGTGCTCGTTTTTTCATTCGTCGTTTTGTCGATCGGCGCGGGCCCTCGCCCCCCCCCCCCCCCTCCCCCCCCTCCCGTGGAGTGGATCTTGGCTGGTTTGGGCGCCTGCTTCGAGCAGGTGGAGTCCCCCCCATGGGACGCACCGTCCCAAACAGTCGCACGAAGCAGAGATCCAGAGCCAGAATCCCCCCCTCCCCCCCTTCCGCCCAATGTCGAAACGCCGAAGAGACGCTCGGGAGGCTCGCAGGAGGCACCAAGAGCCCACCAAGAGGCCCCGATAGTTTCCCAAGACGCCGCCAAAAGGCCTCCAGAGACGTCCCAACAGTCCACGGCCTGTACCCAGGAAACTTCTGACCCACGGGCCAGGCATGGTAATTTGAAAAAAATGGGAATCCCAAGAATTCCAGACCATAATTAAAGCGCCCATCACCGCCTCCGAGGGCCCCAAATCATCGAATTCCTAAAAAGGAAATGGCTGATTTGGTGGTTTCCGCATTTCCCCTTCTATGCGCTTCCTAGGCTTGCTCGGGACTCCAAGGAGGTCGTTAGATGCACAAGGCACTTCAACAATTTATATTCCATGCGTTAGCCTGTCGAGCCTAGCTAGAACTTGAGCGCGCGCGATGGTTCTAGCATATATTTAAAATCTGTATAGATATATACAAGTCTGCCTACACATGTTTTTCAATGCTGGTGCTTCTGTTCGATTTCGGCCTCCGGGGCCCGTTCTCGGGCCCCGAGGCCCATCAGCAACGGATTTGGGAAGAATGGCCCGTGACGGGGAATGGGCCAGGACCTCCCGTGGGCGGCGCACTCAGACGTCAGGAGGAGGAGGAGGAGGAGGAGGAGGAGGAGGAGGAGGAGGACGAGGAGGAGGAGGGGGAGGAGGAGGAGGAGGAGGAGGAGGAGGAGGAGGAGGAGGAGGACAGTTGCTCGGGTAAGTCAGTTGCTCGTGCGATCCCTTGCTTCTGCCCCTTCTTGGGCCTCCTCCCGGGCGGCCCTCGCCGCCAGGGCTCCAGGCTCGCCGCGGAGTCCTTGGCCGAGCTCGGCTCGCCCCTGGAGAGGTTATCCCCCCCCCCCCCCTCCTCTCAGTATCGTTTTACCAACCCCTATCCCCGTCCCCTTATTTATCCCCTTCGAGACCGCCACCAAATTGCCTCCCCAGTTGGAGATGCACCCCTCGAATCCCGAAGGGAAAGGTCTACATCCCCATCGAGGGGGGTAAATATCGGCCAGTGGGGCCCAGGCCACGCCGATTGGGGATGGGGGATCGGCGAAACGATGTTCCCCCTCTCCGCAGGAGGACCGCTACCTGCGCGTGGAGTTCCCCGTGGAGGTCCCGCTCCTGGGCCCCGACGTCGACGACGCGGAGTGGTACTTCCCGCTCGACGACGGCATCGTCCACTTCCGCGCCGAGCGGCGTTCCGGGCGCGCCGACTTCGGGGAGAACGCGCGGCGGTTGGAGGGCATCCGCGAGCAGCTGGGCCGTCGGCGGGCACCGAACGCAGCACCACCCACCAAAGCACCCCGACCCAACCCGAAGGCCTCAATCTGCCCTCCATTTCCAGTGGAGGGGGGGGGGGGTTCGGGGAACATTGACAAAAATACATGGGGCCCGTACCCCCCCCCCATTCCGAGATTCGGGCGAAATTCGGGCCTGCGGGTTGGGCTGGGGTGGTTGGGTAGGTAGTCATGAACGCCCGCCTCCTCCCGCCTCGTCGCCGGCCTCGCTCGCCTTGCCGCCCTTGTCCTTCTCGTCCCTCTCGTCCTTCCTCTCTCCTCGGTCGCTGGCGGAGGCGACAAACACCGACCGTCCAGATTTTTTCCCAGCTGCATTCTTCGGTGTTGGATATCCTCGTTTTTGGAAGAGCTTGGCACCGCTCGGATGTGTGCCTGTTTTTGATCGGCGAGGGGCATCGAGGAGCATACTGGAACATCTTGCGAAAGGTGACTTCCGCGCGCGAGATCAAACAAATGCACGGGCGATGCCAGGGGGGTCCGCTGTTGTCCTTTTGCGGTCCGTCTCTCCCCTGCATCAGCCGTCCTCTAGTGTCCTGTCCACCCCCCCCGCTCGTTGCCCAGGCTGGGACCCGCTACCGGTGGTCAGGACCTCGGCCGCCGCCCTGGAGCTAGTGTGGGGGGGAACGCATGCCCACTGACGGGTCGAGGATCTGTGGGTTCGAGGCTCGCAGGGGCCTTGAAGACTGTGAGGAATTGTGGGTTCCAGGCTCGAGGATGTCTGGAGGACTCTGCCGGCCTTCCCTAGGCGCCCCTTAGCAGGTTGCCAGAGCCTTTCGCAAAGGCTTTTGCAGGACCCCGCTGGAGTGCCAGGCTCGTGTCGATCGGCCTCCAGGGGCCGCTCCTGGGACCGTGACTCATCGGAACACGACTCGGGATGAATAGCCGGCCGCATGGGAAAGGGGGTCGGGAGGGGCCCCATGTTGAGAAACCCACCGCGCCGGAACTCTCCTGCAATCGCGCGCAGTGTACAGCCCACCCCAAACGGATGCCGTGCATTTCGCGCCGCGCTGGCGGCCCACGGCAGCCTGTGCTGCATGGCGGCGGAGGGAGGACAGGATAATCGAGGAAGACAAGTAAGACGAAGAAACATAATCACAAAAAGGAGCGTAATCACCATAGTAGTAGTGGTAGTAGTGGTGGTCGTAGTAGAAGTAGTAGTAGTAGTAGTAGTAGTAGTAGTAGTAGTAGTAGTAGTAGTAGTAGTAGTCGTAGTAGTCGTAGTAGTAGTAGTAGTAGTAGTAGTAGTAGTAGTAGTAGTAGTAGTAGTCGTGGTGGTGGTGGTGGTGGTGGTGGTGGTGGTAGTAGTAGTAGTAGTAGTAGTGGTAGTAGTAGTAGTAGTAGTAGTAGTAGTAGTAGTAGTAGTAGTAGTAGTAGTAGTAGTCGTAGTAGTCGTAGTCGTAGTCGTAGTAGTAGTAGTAGGAGTACTCGTAGTCGTAGTAGTCGTGTAGTCGAGTAGTAGTAGTAGTAGTAGTATGTAGTAG